CAAGCATCCCCACCCTTCTCCCTGCCGGATGAATTGTTTTATTGGTTCATTGCACACAATGAAGAGATAATGCAATGAGCTTTTAATCTAGCGAAAGTCAGATACACAGTCCATGTCACACACATTAACTGGTGCAATGGAGTTTTGTTTTGTTTGTGCACATTCAGGTAAAACCTGAGAGGAACTAGAAATCATAAACCACTGGAGTAAATATGAAGCCTTCAAAGGGCACAGATTGTAGGATGTGTTTGTTTATACAACTAACACTTGAAATGCCCTGGAAATATGTCAAGATCGGTTGCTTTATAGAAGAGTCCTTCAAACGAGAAATTTAGAAAATAAATTTAATCAAAACCACAAGCTCTTGACTGGGTACCTGTAGTCTAATGTTTTATATTAGCACATTCTGACAAAGCAGCTGATTCCTATTGAATTAGCAGCAAATTGAAGACCCAAAATATCCAGTCTTGAATTTGCCGCTAAGACAGTCAGAAGACCATTTCAGGGTCTTTGGGACATTTGGTAAATCATGAATCATGAATAATGAACAAACCCTTTCCCCCCCCCTTATAAACTAAAATTCGTCCGCTTCTCGAGTGGTTGCAAGAGCCACAAGAAGGAAAAACTGTGTTTAAAATAAAAGCCAATTAGGCCACTTATAAATGCAATAACAAAAATAAACTCTCAGAAGCTGAGTGAGCCGAAGAAGAATCCCATTCCTGTTCCTTGAGAAGGTGATCTGTTAGATCTGTAGTGTTTTATATGGAACCCAAGGTGTATTCTTCTTGGGAGCACAGACTATTTGTCTCTGTCTCTGTCTATGGGTGTATGTACATTCATATTTATCTGTGCATATTCTGCAAACTGACACATGCAGAGTGATTTCAAGTATCCAGTGTAAAACAATGGAATCCCCTGTGATTCCCCTGGCTGGATGGGGTACAGTGCTCTCTATCTCTTTCACTTTCGCAATGACCTTGTCCATTCCATGTGCTTTACAGGAAGCCCTGGCCTTCTTTACAGAAAAGACTGTCTGTGGGAGGAATCAAGGTTCAGCTGCTTTCTCACAAACAATGCACTTGTAGGGAAGGGCTGAGAAGCCATAAAGCATGAAGGCCTCTGCTTAATGGCTACATGTTTTTCCAAGATAAAACAAATGGGACAATTAAACCTGTGCTGATAGGGGGTTGAATACTGTGCACAGGAGAGTTTTAATTCAGCTGGGCTTTTGAGACTTTAAAGAAATGTGACTGCAGGGTGTATGACTTCTCAGGAATACTGCTAGTCTTACCAGGTAGTACCAAAAACTACCTCTTTCATCCGTTTCTTGTTAGCATTGAGGTGCACTTTGAATTCTGAAAATGAAATAGAGGCTTTACTTTCATTTTCTCCTTCCTTTCATGTGGTAAGTTATGTGGCATGATCAATGGCCTGCTTCAAACCAAAACCATGCTCCAGCTTGTGACTTAGACGTCTGCAAGTGTCTAGAAACATAAGAAAATAGTAAGAATCAAGATACGTGAAGAACTCTTTGTCACAGTACCCTTCCAGGAGTGCAACACTTCCTCAGAATAACTGCACTATTCACTGAGTCTTCTCTGTGTGTTTAAGCCATCCCCGAAGCAAACTTCCAACACAAAGTAGTTTGACTTGGTTTGTGCTGAAAATGTACTTTGCCACCCTACCACCACTACAGAGCTTTTGCTCATAATAATGTTTCGATAATGTCCTTTGGATGAGACGTAAAACCGAGGTCCTGACTCTCTGTGGTCATTAAAAATCCCAGGGCGTTTCTCGAAAAGAGTAGGGGTGTAACCCTGGTGTCCCGGCCAAATTTCCCATTGGCCCTTACCAATCATGGCCTCCTAATAATCCCCCTCTATGAATTGGCTTCATTACTCTGCTCTCCTCCCCACTGATAGCTGGTGTGTGGTGAGCGTTCTGGCGCACTATGGCTGCTGTTGCATCATCCAGGTGGGGCTGCACATTGGTGGTGTGGAGGGGAGTCCCCATTACCTGTAAAGCGCTTTGAGTGGAGTGTCCAGAAAAGCGCTATATACGTGTAAGCAATTATTATTATAATGCTCCCACTCAAACATGGCTCTCTGGACAGATCCATGATGCTAGATTTCAAGCTGTCAGCATGTTTTGTGTGTCTTTTTATTAACCCATTCAAAGGTGTTGTTTACCCTTGGTAATTAACCCTTAAGAAAATGTACTTATGCCCAACAGGTAAATTATTTACAAAGCAGATGGAAGCAATTTATGTTTACATTAAAACAATCATACTGCAAAGATATCTTTGACAATTGATGTGCCACTCTAAAAAAATATTTTACGGGAGGTTGCCTCTTACACTAACTTCCAAACTGCAAAACACATGTGTAAATCAGAATTTCCTGTGTATTACAGGCTAAAATTCTTCTAACCACCTTCTAACCATTTCAGTTGGCATTGAGAATTCATGTTTTTTAGGTTTTCGGTCTGTGCACTTGTGTGAGTTGTAGTAAAATGTACATACTACATTAAGGTTTCTCATTCTTCCACTGCATCACAATATAATTTTTCATTGCAGTACGGAAGGTTTTACTATTTTATAATAAAAAATATTTTATTTTTGTTTTGCCAACTATTTTCCAAATCTCGGCCAAAGTCATCAAGCAAGTGCTCTAGGTGGTTGTTAAGATGGGGTGAAAGGCAGTTTCAAAGGAATTGCAAATATTTTCCTCCCCATGTTCCTCTCAGATTTCACCTTAAACAAAGAAAGAACTGTTAAAAAATGTTAATTACAAGATAATATTCCCTGAGTGCATTCTGTGTGTTGTATCTTGGTACCAATAACTGACAATGGTTAAAGCAAATTCTGACAACCTAAAATACCAAAGCTCTTCTCTGTACATTTTGAATCCCTGGTTTGAGTTGCAGTTTATGCTTTATTATATAGTGTTGTAATAGCAATGTAGTATGCTTTCCATGTTTTTCATTATAGTCTTACTGTAGGACTTTTTATGGTGATTTCCCCCTTTTATGAACAGGCATGGACATACTGTAGCAGAGTACAATTGCTGTGTACTGATTGACTGCTACACATTAGTATTCAGTTTTGAAGAGTTTTGAGGAATCACAAAGATAAAATCTGAAAGAGGACAACAATGGAATTTCCACTTAGAATACATGTGGGTTCTATTCCAAGAAAATATGTATTGCATCTGCTTTTTCCATGTAACTTTTGATTTGACTTCTGCTGTGGCTAGTTACTCAGGTTTGAATACAACCCTAAAAGCAAAATTGAGATTGAATCCCCATCTGGTCCTGTGCTGGTAGTAAATGAACTGAAAAGGAATGAGGTTGATTTTTATCATAATCTTATTCCTAATCTTATACAATGTCTAAAAGCATAGTTCACTGGGTCCAGGAAGCTTCCAAGTGACCATGTGCCACAATGACAGATATATTTCCACCAAGCTTCTGTTTTGTTTGGAAGCTTTGCCAAATAGATTTCGTAGTGCTTTTACAAATCTCCATTACGTACTTTGTCTCCTTGTGGCCACTGGGAAATTACTGGCAGTCAGGTTATATTATACCATACCTAAGAGACCCCAGGGACTTTCTGCTTTAAATCAAAATGTTCACCCACCAACAATATGCAATTATAAACCCAGTACTTTACTGGCAGGCTTCCATTGAATAGAAGCAAAAAAATCTCTGAAAAACAAAAGAATTACCTCAACACACCAGGTTCCTCATCAGCAGTTGGTAGAGGGCCACAAATTTGATTTAATTGTGGACCACATTGCCAGCAAAGTTTATGCACAAAAGGGCTGTATGGTTCCACACTATTCTTTTGGAAGGACTTTTTAAAATTTCTAAGATCTCAGATTAGTCATAAATTTTCATACATTTTTAAGTTGACAAATATTGGGACTACCGCCATTTAAAGTGTTTTGGTAGAGTATTGTCATTTTGTTTTAGTACTGAAACCCTATTGAAGACTTACTGTAAGAGAGTCTAGACCAGAAAAAAGTTATTATGGAGACATGCTCTCAAATACCTGGAACAAAAACTCTTCTGAAAACAAGAAATATAATGTTTTCTTCAGGAAGATAGTGAACTGAAAGAATAGCAAAATACTAAAGTTTGCTCAATTAAAGCAAAAGTTCTGCAGAAGTTATTTCATTTCTCTTTTTCATATCTTCAAAGTTTGATTTTTGACACAGACATATTTCATACGCAAGGGAAATTCTAGGGGTGAATACTTTCCAGGGCATTATAAATATACTCTCACATTGTATTAAAAGGTTTGCATTGAAAAGACAGAGGGCGCATACTTTTTCACGGTTATATTTTTCAATTTTGCTGTGTGGGCTTTAGCAAGACCATACCAGTACTCAAGTTTAAATTTGTCATTTTTTACCACTCACACACTGGAGAGTTGTTTTTTGTAATATTTTAGCTGAGATTATGAAAGAAAATCAATAATGTTAATTTATTAACCTTTCTATTAGATTTGATATGCAAAATTAATTTAATTTAGGGCACCAATAAATATTATTTTTTTTAAATAACCACCAACATCAGTTCACCTAAAAAGGCAACTATAAAATGTGAGGTTTCCAGACTCTTGAACCATAAATTACAAGAGTCTGTATTTGTGTAGATTGACAATGAATAGTTTAGCACTTGTTTTTTTTCTTATTTATTGGCTTAATTACATACTGTACATACTGTAAATATCACCTCAGCATTCCTGAATGTATTCATGCTTACGAGGAATTGCTTGGCTCTGGTCCTATCAGTTACAACTTTGTGTCCTTTTATGAATTAAAACAACCAAGACCAAGCATTGAGAAAAATAATTTCTTGGCCACATCTCGCCCGCGTTGAAGTTTCAAGCTAGTAGCAGGTGCTGGCAATGCTGTTGACTGAGGATAACACAATCAAAAAGTGATTTATGTCTGAATCATATTTATTTTATTTTTCATTCTCCCCCCCCCCCCAATCCCCCCCAGCAAACCAATAAACATTTCTCAAGATTGTTAAAGAGATTATTTATAAACAAAAGAATTAAAATAAAAAAAACAAGGCAAGGCGCCTCTAAGTCATACTATTCAATTGACCTTGTGGTTGTATTCAGACAACAGTCCTCTGACATCCAGCAAGAAACTGAGCATTGCTAAACAGATGTCCAAGGATTTCTGTAACAGGGACTGGCAGGTCATTTTTTTTTTTACCTCAGCTGTTTTTACTAACCAGTCCCTTCACTCTCACAATCTTAACATTACTTTTCCAATGGCAATTTAGATACAAAAACCATCCACTTCGAAGTCTATCTCATTAAACCTTATATCTGTTTGCATTTTTTCTGTTGAATTTCAAACAACTGTTTACAAATTGAGGTATACTACCCTACCCACAAGATTACAATTTTAATACAACTCAGCCACAGTGACACATTAAAAATATGATACTGAATCTTAAATCTATCAAGTTAGAATTTGTGGAATACCTCCTTTGGTTTGAAAACAGTTTGCTGACAACAAGGCATTGCCACAATAAAAATGTACTGTAACTTTTCCATGACTTGAGAGTTCCAAGTATATTCAAATTCAGTTTAGGACATTAGCAATGTTTCGCTGATATCAATAAAACATCTCAATTAAACATTTTGACATAAGAATCGATTGTGGTCCCCAAAATGAAAATACTGATATCAAAAAATCAAATTGCCAATATCAAAACAGTACTTTAATTTCTACTAAAACATAATTTTTGATACCAAAAATATATAACTGATATTAGAAATATGAATTGTTAATATCTTTCAAATCACAAAATGCAGACATCTGTAATTCCCGCCCTGATACTAGCAAATTTACTTTATATTGATGATTCAAAATGTATATCAACAATCCATGTTTTTATACAAAGTAAGTGTAATTCAGCTTATTCTTGTCAGTCCCTTTTGAAAGGGCAATGTCAATGGCAAACGTTTATTTTACTATATCAAAGCTGAGCTAATATGGAGTTTAACCTCAGAAATGATGACTGTTTTCCATAGTGCGTCCTTCTTTCAAATAAACAATTACTCCTTTCTCCTTTGGTCGTTTGCCCCACTAGTGTTCTGTGTGTGCACCCACCCCCACCCCCGCTCCGTAGCTGGACCTGTATTAGTAACTATCACTGAAATTTATGAGAGAATAACTTTTGGAAAAAAACAACATTTGGAACTCTGTGATGTCAAGACTTCAAAAGTTATCATAAAACAGAAATAGCTCCAGAAAGAAACCCAAAGATTCCTTTAAAGCGAAGCCTAATGCCAAAGCCAAATATTTTTGGCCTTTACTGCTCAACACAGCAAAATGGGTACAATTTTTTATGAGATTTCTAATTATTATCGTCATAGGGAAAATTTTACTTTAATTTCTCCACTATGAGCTTCCAGATCATTTGTGTTATTTTATTTCTGTTTACTTTAAGGAACTGTTGCATGTTTGTTTGAAAGTGTATCTTAAGCAGCTTAGTACATCAATGACCTGGGCAGGTACTGCACTATAGCATGCATGTATTGATAAATAGCTGGAAGATTTAATAAATATTAGTTTGGATAATGAAGCATAATGGAAATAACAACTTATCCTGGAAGTATATAGGCGTTTAAGCATTAATACTGATATTCCTGTGAACTGCAGATATCCCTGTTTTTTACCACTGCCTTTTGATTAGTCCTGACTGATTTGGCCAAGTTCCTGTTTTGTGTACTGGGTGCCTTGATGCTGTAGGTGCTCATTCTCTGTAACACTCCCCTTGTGACAAAAAAAACCCTTCAAACTCTTTCTCGTGGTAAAACTTCATCAGTATGATAGAAGCATATAGCATGTAATCATGGCATTGATCTTTAACTCCGGTTTCCTGGTTTAACAGGTAAGGATAACAGCTCTTTTACAAATTACTTCTCACTAGACCGACAGACGTTTTATGGCAAATCTTTACCCAAGATGCATTTCTGAGATCAACATTAGTTTTAATTGGCCTTTTGATTCCAAAAGATTTCAGTTTCTGATATCGGCCATTTCTATTTTTGGTATAAAAATGCAATATCAAAATCTAAACTGCTGACATCAAGAATATAATCACTAATATCGGATATCAGAGTTTGATGTTTTCATTCATTACATCTACAGTTCTTACATTTCTTTTAACTTCTAAAACCCTTGCTGCTTTTAACAAAAATACCAGTACTCTCACATGTTTCAGTGAGAATGTAGTCTTGGAGACAGTCTCAGTTCTTTCCTAACCAATGGCTCTTTCACTTCTTGTTTCGAAGATCTTCACTGTGCACTGTTGATTGGAGTACGTTTTGCCAATCCCTTGCATTTCCTGTACAAATTCTTCCTCTTTGCACTGCTCATGTTTTACATAAATGGTGTTGGTACACAAAATAATCTCAGCCATGTCAGTGCTAACATCAGTCATCAACCTAGACAACAATACACAATAAAGCATAGTGTTTTCATCAACTTAACCAATTCAGCTCTTTTTAATCTAAATTTGACTTAATAAAACATGAAAGCATCCTATCTTGCACTTTCATTCAACAGAATCTAGCTAATAAATATGAAATCAGCAGTAACATGTACCACATTGCAATTGTCATGTTATAAAATTGATCACATAAACAGATACAGTAATATACAAATGCAGCTTTGTGTCTCTATTCATGTTCATATTATATTTATAAAACACATAATAGTGTGAAAGTTTTTAAACAACTTAAATCAACTGATCCCATTTTCAAAACCAGTTGATAATATAAGCGACAGAAAAAAGAAACTCATTCCCAAATTGAAGATTACAAATAGTCCTGGACTGCCCTTTGAATACAACCTTAATAAATAATGTATTCTGGAATGGTCAAAGTTAAATAAACACTTAAGGTAGTACCTCTGTTCACAACGTTCTCTCTCAAATGAGAACTTTAATATTTTTAACATTTTTCTTACAAAAATATAATCATTAGTCAACATCAAAAGCCTTTTTCAAGTTTCAAAAAATAAATATCTTCTGAACAACACTCACATGTTATTTGAGACTTTAATTTCTATCCAGACTCTCCTTTCTTTGTCTGTCCAGACTCATATAAATACAGATAAGAATAAATTCCAGTATCTATATTTATAAATCTCTGTCTATCGGAAAGGCATTTATTCAGTGCACCTAAAGAGTAATTCCCAAAGCACAAAAAAAATTGAAGATTTTTTTTTTCCCCAAAACAAGTTTGTGCAAATCTATATGTCAATCAGCTGTATAAAAAACAGCATTTCAATTCACAAATTTCTTACAGGTAACATCTAGACAAAAGGTTGATTTAATTATTATATTATCTCAGCACACTGTGACAATTCCCTTTACAGATGACACAATATTTCCATTTAAGAAGGATTCCAATAATCATAAAAAGTATCCTAATCATTTTTTAAGTCCAGAAATGCCATCAGAACAACCACATCTCAAGACGGTTTGTATAATTTCCTATGACATTGCATTGAACAAAGTCCATGTAAATATATTAATATAGGATAAATGCCAGACATCATTTAATGTTTCTTATGATTTAAGTGCAATGTTATAGTTCCAAAATAAAGCAAGTGTCTGACAGACACTCATTCTTTTTACTTACACTTTTTTTACAGACAACATAAATAGTAAAGAGGCTTTTTTGCATAAATAAATTGTTATACTTTCTTAGATTCTTAAACAGGATAAAATAAACAAGAAATACTTCTGATCTAAGCCCTTTTTCTGATTTGCTTTTCAGTCACAAAGGACTATTAAATTATTGAAACATCACTGGGTGTAACTGAGGGACCCAGAGTTATTCAAAACTTCTTTCGTGTGTAAAATGTTTTTCGCTGAAGCAATGTACCAGTTTAACACAACTGAAAAAAACCACAAAATATTTAACATGTCCACGTGTTGCTGTTTAGATCAACAGTTAGAACACGTGGTTCTGGTGTATCAAAGCATTCAGTAAACTGTTAAAAAATGGCTTCTATTGTATTTCATTGGGCACACTTAAGAAAAGCTATACTGCTCTCTATCTTGAAATGGAATGAGCTACATTACACTTACATACCGTGAAAACAAATGTCTCACTTTGGAATATTGTACATCACATAATTTGTATCTAACCTGATGAAATTATTTGCCAAAATATTGCCAAGTTCTGAAGAAAAAGATAAGCAGTAAGCTTTTAAAGTTCAATATTACAATAGGTCATTTTCTCATGTACAGTCAAAAATGTCAACTTACAGTATGTGTTGTACACATAAACACTTGAAAACAGACTAACAAAGCACCCCAAAAGGTTTCTGGAGACAAAAGGAAAAATAAACATTTCATCATCACTAGAGATTACAACAATTCAACATGGTTGTGGGTAATAACTTAATATATGGGATCATGTACAATGTATTCGTAAATCATTATCATTCCACTTGGAGACAACTGTAAATGCTAGTTAACACATGAGGAAAGAAAAGGCTATGCCAAGCCATCTTTCCCATAGAGTTTTAATAAAGGTTAAATTTACATTATGATTTTGTTCCTGGGATTGACTTTAACTTTTGATTAGAAGTTGTAATAAATGATGACATGATTCCGTGAAGTTGAAAAGACTGGTGTGCGATGGTAAGAGTGTGCTTGCAGACGTTTAATGGGTTTATTCCTCTCCCACCTCCCCCTGGACTTGTCACGTTTCAGAACCAGGTATACCTGGAGATTGCTCAAAATGTACTTTTACTTTGGAAGCTGTTGAGAAATATTTCAAGAACCTCCATCCTGTATTAAATGATATGTTTTCAGATTTCAAAGTGCAGTGTTTCCCTTTCTCCAACAAGCCTTCATTAGTTTGCTCGTACCCTGCTGGAACGTTGCTCTGAGAGTAGTTGTCGCCCCGCCTTGTCTACCCTACTCCTAAAGACTTTATGAAGTCCTCTTTAATGTACTTCTCTTCATAAAGGTAGGTACGTTGCCCCTTTAGCTCGGAAATTAAATACACGTACGAAGTCTGTAGACAAGTAAATGTACAAAACAGAATGGCATAGCTTGCTTTTCAACAGCGGGACAGAGGGCGTTCCCTGGCGCACTTATAATCAAGACTAATAAAGAAACTAATCATCAATGTTCTGTGCTCCCTAGCTCATTCTTGAGACACATGTCTGAGGTGCAAAACTGAGTAAGAGATTGGTTGCACCCCAGCTCTGTGTTTGCAGGCTTCAGCAGCCTTTATTATTTGCCTCGTCATTTCTTTACACCACTGACTCAAACAAAAAAAAGCACGTTCAGCAGCTGGTACTCTCCCCAGTTTTTGCCAGGGCAGCTGTGCCCACTGCTATCTGGCACCCATTGGTGACATGATTCATCACTTTTTGCTTGAGCTGGGCCACCTGCTCCCGCAGAATACTGGCAGTGGAGGCCAGGTCCGAATTCTGGGTCTTCAGCACCTTCACCTTCTCCTCCAGGCGGGAGATCCGCTCCAGCTTCCTCTTGCGGCACTTGGAAGCGGCGATCCGGTTCCTCAGCCTCTTGCGCTCCGCCTTGATCCTCTCCTGTGTCTCCAGGTCAATGGGAGAGAGGGAAGGCGGGGAACTGGAGGGGTCGCCGGGGGGATGGGGCACCTCGGGGACCGTCTGGGGCTCGTCGAGTCCTCGGCTGTGAGGGTGGGGTCCTTGCCCGAGGCCGCCGTGAGACGACCCGTGACCGGTTGCCGAGTAGGGCAGCTGGCCCCCTGAATACGAGGCGGAAACAGTGATCTGATTGGGGTTGTAGCTGCTGAGATTCGTGTAGATGGGCATGTCCCCGCTGGGCATCACGTTCCTCTGGAATGGCCCCTGAATTGAAGACGACGGGGAGATGGGCGCCCCGATGAGCTGGTTCTGCTTGTGGAGGTCGGCCAGGGCTTTCACGAAACCATCAGCGAAGCCTTCTTGCTCATTAGTTACCTGGTTCCTGTACATGAAGGGGTTGGGTGTTGAGCTTGGCGCCGGACTGGTTGTGACGAGTCCCTGGTTGGACTGGATAATCAGGTGTTCTAAATCTGGGGAAGCCAGCTTTAGGAGATTCACATCTGGCGAAGGCATTAAAGAGCCATTTGTGTTACTGTTAATACCTGGGTTGTTCGAATTTATACTGCCATTGCTCCCACCTTGTCCCTGCAACAGCTTCAAACCAGAGGTGCTTCCCAGCGGACCTGGGAAATTCTGTGCAGCCATATTTTTCTTACTCATTATTTTTTGGCTCGGGTACCTGTGGTTGTAGTCGGGGATCTGTCCAAAATTTTGAAGGTTTGGCGTGTCATCGTGATAAAAAGGGGTTTCCATCTTACCCGTCATTGACACGGTGTAATAACTTCATAATCTGAGTCCCGCGTATCAGTGGGATGAATATTTCCACAGAGGCATTATATACTCAGTAGGGTCCCGTCTATTTTAAAATGTTTATAACGTAAGAGTCCGCCCCGAAATCGATGATCAGTAAATATAAGTGGTACACCTGAAAAGAAAAAAAATACAATACCGTTTTTTTTAAAGGAATAGGAATGAAAGGACGTAATCGACAATAATAACGTTTAAAGATGCAGTTGCTCGGCAGCCAACGCACCTACAGTATGCTAACATCATCAAACTACCCAAACGCAACAAGCTTTCCAATCACTCCTTAAGACCCTATACTTTGCACGTAAACACACTGACAGATGCACGTCTCAGAATACTGTTCCATACAGGTACATACGTTTTTGACTATTGTCTGTAAGGCAATACATTTACAATCGTTTTAATCTTCTTACGGATGTTGGACAGAAACACAATAATTGTAAAATAAGTCTTCGATTCACACATGCAGTGTCGCAAATTCATGAGTCCTTCCCCACTAAAACACAACTTGTGCGATTTCTGCATTCCTCCTCTTTTTATTATCATGATTTGAAACAGGCATCCTGTTACCGAGTACTGTATCTATATATTTAATATCGATATTCGTAATTCATTTCTTAACACAACCAACCCCTTAAACGTGCTATCGGTAAATAAGTAAATACTATTTTAACATCTGCAAATATCTTCATGAAGGATTTTACTTACCGCTGTATAATCGGCTTGCGGTGAAATCCTATGTGAAACAAGTCTTCATGTGTAACACAACAACAACACTCGGGAAATAAATTCGCAGATTTCTTTAAAAAAAAAACAACAACAACAAAGTTCCCAGACAGTATCCAATTTCCAACTGGTCTCTGATCGGTTTGATTAGTCAGACTGTTCAAAGATTACATGAAATAACCACCCATCGCTGGCATTTATTTATCCACGCGTTTGCGAGGCAGGAGCCGGGAGCGCGTCCCCCGCCGTGCTCATCTGAAACAGCAATGTGAAATCCGCACAGCCAGCACCGCAGCTCCTGCGAAGGCGAACACGACACTCGGATAATCCAGCAGTGTAATAGAATATCTTCTCGTTTTCTCAAACAACAACAACAACAACAACAAAACAACACGAAACAAGAAGAGGTCTTCTTTAGGAATCCTTTTTGAGCGCAGAAGTAGCTGAAAGTCTGTTGCGTGTGATTCTGCCACTGGCCGTCGCCGCTGACAGTTCGACTCTGTGGGACTTTCTGCTTGTCTGACTAATAACACACGCCCTCTTTTTCTTCTCTGGTTCCTGAAACTACCCAGTATTGATGTCACACATTTTATGCCGCCTACTCCGTGCTATATGGTGAGATCTGTTCTTACAAAGGCTTTCTTTTTTTTTCTGTTCTTAGTCATTTGCATGCCGTAGACAACCTGTATTATTGTAAATTGTGTGTTTACTGTACAAGACAATCATCCAGAGCAAGTGAAACTTTTGCGGATATGCAGTGCCCTCATGCTAAGTTAAGCGTCGCTCTAGTACAGCTGTACTCTGGACATTTTTAAGAGCCTTTGAGCCAGGCAGTCAATTGAGTCTTGCTTGAAAGATAAAGCGAAAGCAAAATTGTGTGAATATATATTTTTTTATTTTTAAAAGACTGTAAGGAGTGAGCTGCTTTGTACACAGACTAGCGCACACACGGCCAAGGTCTTAATGCTAAACGTACGAAGGAGAACGATAGAAACGAGAGCAGCAAGGAGTTGCACTTACAGTAGTTTTAGGTAGCGTTCAGGCAAGTTTGCTACTCGTGGCAAAGAGTATACTGAAGTTGTAATAGATTCGGGATTTTTTTTTTATTTTCCTCTCGTACTGCATCCTTGTTAAGAGAATCTATTTGTAAAGATGCCGTAGATGGTTTATTTAGTAGAGTAGAGCTGCGCACATGTTCTAATAATTAAACTGTAAAACACTACGTTTTTAAAAAAATGATTTCGTGAAGAACACAACAACACGGAGTTCTTCGTTTTACATACTGTGTACGCATAGATGTAAACTGAAATGAAGGACGAAAGTAAATTGATTTAAAATGACGCAGTTGTGCTCCGTGGTAGATATTTGTGCTGTTCCTGTGTTGGCGGCATATTTTCTCACTGTAAGGAAACTATCGGCAAAATAATTAGTAATTATCGCAAACTAGGCTTAAAGCGATACTTTTGTAGGTATAGGCCCGATATGTTCAGCAGGGATTATGTATGGCGATTAGATAAATCATGTCAGTGAAGCGGAGCTGCTGTGTCTTGTTCTATTGCTTGGGCAGTGTATATAAATAGGCAGGTGACCTCCCGGCGCAGGAGTGACTGAGATGCCAAAAGTTACAGCCTCTTTGCAGAAGATCAGATGGTAACAATCCAGTGTCCCAAGTGCACTTTATCAGCCGAATATACGAATTATACAGTATTAATTGTGGTGTGGACTCCCAAGTGGGTTAGTGGAAGTTTCTCTGCTGAATTGTGCCATGCCCATACACAGCTACAATCCAGTGCTGTACAAGTGAACTCATAGACTAATTCTGAGGAAAGGGCTTCAAAAAGCAGATAGCAGTTGAAATACTATTTTACCTATTTGATATTGAGGGGGTGTTGGTGGTGCATTTAGATATATAGATTTCTGTTCTCTCTCGTGTTTTTTATTCCTTTCATGGAACTAACATGGAAATGTATTCAAAAGACTTAGCCTGTTAAACCCCATTGTTTACTTGTTATTTTAGAAATTCTCAACGCAGGAGAGCCATTTGTTATCTGTCAGCTTCCACAGTGTGTCAGGTTTCACAGGAGAGCTAGCGTTAGACAATAAGGGAGGTTACAAAACGAGAGGAGGCCGATCTAGCCCGTTTGGTGATTAGTGACTAATTGATCCAAGGATCTCAGACAGAAGATAGAGGCCAGGCTATCGGTTTTCAGCAGAGTGGCTGGGCAGCCTGTGCCAGACTAGCATCAGCTGGCGTAGTGGCGGGAGTGCAGGCCTGTGGGGGCCTGGAAGGTCACAGGGAGTACTGCTGTGTGGAAAACTGAGGAGACGAGCCCACAGCCTCCACAACTCTGGCTGTGAGTGCACCGCTACAGGAATCCCTGTCACAGCTGGCTCATGCCATGGTCCAGGCTCAGAACAATCATGTGTGAACTCGATCTGCACTGAGATGCTCTCCTTGAGCCAGCTGGAAATCCTGAAATTAAACAGAAGGTGCTCAAGGCATATTTAGAAAACAAGAGGGATTCCAAGGCCACTATAGCTTAAGTTTAGGGTAGAAGCCACTGAAAAACTAAACAAACCAACATTATTGTTCTTGAAAAGTGGTGGGGAATGCCGCTTATTCCAATATGGAAATGCAGGCTAGCCAGGTTTCATCAAATCATTTCTCAAGCTTTGGTCAGATTCTAGTTGAGAACGAGATGACTCTAACTTGAGCCGCAGGATGTTGTGACCTGGCACACCAGGTCAGTAAAAATGGTAAAACTGCTTCGGACTTGTATGATGGAGTGCTCAACAGTTCTGGATTCTTTGAAAAACTTAATTGATGCAAACCTGAAGTACTGTGAGTCAGTGGGCTTTCGTGTTTGCTTCCCAGTACAAAGGCAGGCAATGTGATGTTGTCTTCGCTTTGTCATCTTAATATCTTTGAATTCATTATTGTTGCGACATTTGTTCTGTATTTGCGAAATGAACTGTAATAATGCTGCTGCCTCACGAAATTGTTTAGAATTCTATAAATAGAATGCATTTGCCTTCAAGACTATTGTTTAATTTTTGCAACTTTAAGAGACAGAATCATTATTGGAATAGTGCTGTTACCTTCTCCCAGCTGTCAGAAAAGGGTGTGCTACAGTATGTGCATAAAGAAAAGGGAAGTAAGTTCACAGATATGAGGGAATAACAATAAATTAAATGACAATTAAGAATAAAGTTGTACCTTTTCCAATGAAGTTAGTTTAAATTGTATGAGCAAAAAAAGTGTTTTTCTGTTCTTGTTATCCTTATGGTGAGGCTACCCTTTCTCTTTTCTCTGATACTTTGAACACAAACACTATGTGCAGTGAAAGGTTCCAGCCTCCTCATGGTGTGATTGACGTTTTTGGTGATGTGATTTCCATACTGGCCCTCGAAGCCAAAAGGGTCCGAAAAAATTTATGCACACAACTGAATAAGCAGCCAGTTCTCGTTTTGAATTCGTGTGGAAACGCAGTGTGGGGTCACCTACTCGAGTTCTATAGTTCATGGTGTGTACAGTATAACTGTGCTGAAAAAAACAAACTGTGCTTGCATACTGTATGAGCCACAGAACATATAAAAACATAATGTAATTTATTCCGGTGGAGAGCTTTTTTTAGTGAGACAATATCATTGCTTGCTCTGTTGTGTCTGAAGTGCACTTGATTATGGAAAATTAGTATTAATTATGGAGCAGCAATGTAGATAACTGTAAGGCTCTGACTGGACCCATGATTGGTGGGCTGAGGGTTTCACCTTTCTCTTGCAGACTTGATCCAGAACTTTTAGAACATCCTGTAATAAATGTACAGGTAAAAATGAAAACGAGTAATTGGAACCTCTTCATGTTGCTTTGATTAGAAGTCCCAAACAAATATGGGTAACTATTCACTCTCCAAAAGCTATTACTATATGATTTGGTACTAAGCCTTTATTCTGTGTATTTTATGAACCTTCCCATGGTGCAGTGGATATATTGGTTCCTTGACTGTTTTGTACTTGACCAGACATATTTACTTACATTTTTATTGTGCTTTTTACACATTTACAGCTTTTTATCTTGCTTTCTGATGTCCTCTTTGTTTTAGAATGTAAACTTTTATAAGGGAAACCTGTTTGAACTGGTGTGATTTCCTGTCCATCTGGAGACTTGGTATATCGGTTTTGACAAGATTTCTAGGAGACATATTGCTGGATGATAACATCTTTGTTAAAAGTCTAAACGCTGCCAGAATGGTTTGCAACTGAGGACTACATTTCTGTCTGTAATGCACATTGTGATTTTCCATGAGATAAACAGCAATCCTATAATTAAAGTCTAAAATGAGTAGGTGCCTCACAGTTCAAACAGATATTACAGACCATTTTGAAAACACATAGGATGTACACATGATGTGCCAATGTGTCTTAGAACTGACTCCATTCAGACGTTTAACTGTATTTTATTATGATGGGCAAACATGAAAGGTGTGGACATATTGGTGTTTGCACAATTTTTACAGCAATTGAAAGAGAAAATAGAACTCACCAATTACTTAGAAGGTGGCTATAAATAAACAGATATGAATCTGTCCTAAAGGAAAAAACTACAGGCATAGACAGATCATTGTGAACAATGCTCGATATTAAAACTATGCCAGACAGCTTCACCTGCCCATAAAAATGGTGCAAGACTCGAATTTCTAATCTGCAACTTGAAGTGAGCAGGCTTGTTACTACAACCAAAGTTATAAAAACCAGAATTACAAATCCTCGTTGCCCATAATGTCACTGTGTGCTGAAAGAAACTGGATTTAAAACAACAAAAAATTATAACTTTTAAATACTCCTTGGTGAAGTAGACTCCTTACATCTCATTAAATAGTTTTATTGGAAAATAGCTAGAAACAATCTGTCAATCATCCATCCTGTTTGTAATCAAACAGTCTTTGCCAGTGGTCTCTGAGCCAGCGTCAACAAATTAGTTATGTAGTGTATCTTAGTGTATGGCATTAATGATAATTACTACTGTGGTATTGACATTCTTGAGGAAAAAATATAAATACTTAATGTTTAGAATTTGTAATTGTTTTGTTCTTTTGTAGTAAAAACCAATGGCCAACTTCCTTGATGTTTTAAAAAAGTCTTTATTTAAGACGGCAATATGTTCAATTTTAATCTGTAGGGAATTTAGAATGAAGAGATTAATGATTGTTAATTTTAATTAAGTGACTCACATATGATTAGCTTGTAGCAAAGAAATCATAACCTTTGACTCTATTTGTACAGTATTTTAAATTTCCTGCTTTACTTTCCACTTAAAATCTTTTTTTTTATTTTAATTTGTTCTGACTTTTTAAAATAAAAAATGAGTCAGATGAGTTTATAGCTTTATCATTAGAAATGTTTAAGGAATATTTTAATTTGAAATGAAAAGAAAAATAAGGAATGTTCTATTGAACCACTTCCTAACTAATTGCTGCTTAGATCATTTGGTACATGTCCATTTTCGATGTCTTTGTATACAGCCTTACAAAAATGAACTTAAATCAAAATAGTGATTTAGTCCAGCTCCAGAGGTGATTACAGCTGTTCCACATTTTGAAATCAATTTCACTAAATGTTCACAGATGTTATTGGAAATATGGAATCACTCATTTACAACAGTAGTTAACATAGCTCTGTATGAGGTGGGTAATGATTAATTAGCTTCTTTCAGCCTGAACAGCCTCTTGGTTTTTGTTGTATCTGCCTTGAGACTGTCTGAAGTGACACATTAGCCAGGTTTGATGTTGCCTTCAGTGATGCACCAGCACAATGATATTCACCCCTGGTTCTATGGAGTCCACAACCTAAAAGCTGTGATCTGTTACTACTTAATAGTTCTCATGAATCATGGGTCATGCTATGTGTTGTGCCATTCCCATTTGTTTTGAACAAGCTGTGTTGCGCCTCTTAATATTTAAGAAGGGCAGTGTATATGTACTGTACTGTAGTTCAGATAAAATCTCATCATTTTTCCCCACTCATCTTGAAGTCATTTTCTACTCATCCTCAAGACATATGTCACTCCTCTTCCCTCCTCATTCTAAATTTCTGTCCCTTTGTTGAGTCATGTCTTCCCATGGCTAATTGCAGAGACTTCTGTTTGTTCGTAAAGTGAAGCAGTGACATCATACTGCATTTGATGTTACTCAAAGTTAATCAGAGTTGTATTTCTATCTACAAAATTCCGCTGTGTAAATTGCTAAAGATCTTGTAACACACGTTAGTAAAATGTAATTATGATAGAAATTTAGATGATAGAAAAGAGGAAGAAAACAATATAAAACAGTAGCAAACATATGATATGAATTTTAGGAACAAAATTCTGCCATTATAGTAATAATTTGTACAGTTCACTGTTACAGGAAGGTACTTTATAATTTTTCCTGAAGTTTAAGTTGCTCTATACATAATTACATTTCTATTATTTTTCTGTTAATTCATATAAAATATAACACTGTTTCCAGAATGACCACTCCTTCTGTACCTGCAGGTCTGGGACGGTCCATGATTGTTTTGGTCAGCTGACTTCTCTTGACTTTGTTTAACTCTGAAACAAGAAAATGAAAGTTGAGGGTTGAAAGTGTTTCACCCAGTGTTGGAATATTTTGAAGCCCTTGACTGATATTCGTGGCCCTTCGTTCATCGCCTTCTGAAGTTACATTCAAAGGAATGATGATGCTTCCTGCCCTATATTATATACTGTACGCGAACTGTCACGAAGCATTATTTCAGGACCCTATGCAGACAACACAATCTGGGGAGGGGTGAGGAAAACACGAGGAAAAAGGCATGCAAGGGGCTGGAAGCAAAACAGGGGGCGTGTTCATGGTGCGCTGGTGTTTGGGGAGGTGTGGCCGAGGTAAACAGTCCGAGGGAGTCCGAGGCAAATCCACAAGTGTAGCAAAAGTCCAAGACCAGGTAATCCATCCTGACAGACAAACAGAGTTAAAAGCTGGAGGGGGATCTGGCTGAGGGTCGGGGGAATCAAAGGGGGGTCATGGGACCAGACGCTCCCTAATCCTGGACTCAGAAGGACAGGACGCCGTGATGAAGCCTGTGCCGTCAAGTCTCTCCTGGACTCATGGGTAGGCATCCATCTTCCAAAGCTGATCCCTGATAGACAGCAACGTTTGGCTTATAAAGCACGGGGGGCTGGAACCAGAGGCAGGTGCGGGAGATGAGTATAAAACAAGGAAGGGCTGGAGCGTCCTTCAGAGGAGGGGTTCACGAGTGTGACATGAACCTGATTTCTTTTGCAAGAAACCACATTTTTCTTCCATTACACCTCCAAAGTCTTCTGGCTGAAATCCAGCTGAACATCAATGGGCAATATTAAGACCATATTTTGGGATATTGTGATGTTCTTCATACAGTAGGTAAACCTACAAAAGACTGGGAATACCACCAAGAAACACAATCAGTAATCAGGCTAGAAGACAGATTAGATTTGAAGCCTTGCAGAACAAGGCAGATAAAAAAAAACTAATTCAAGGACGGCTGTAGAATAATACAAGAACTTGTTAGTTTTGTAGCGGTGTTTCATATTCTTCCCTCCGTCGGTAATTAAGTTCAGCAGTTGCTATAAAGGGGGTGTAGCAGAGCAGCTGTTTCTCTGACCGGCCCATGTCCGTGTGTGCTGCAGGTGTGCAGTGTGCAGATGACGAAGGAAGAAAATAAGTGCAGGCATTCACACAGGGCTCCGAGAGCGAAGTCTGCCACAGCTGACTTCCATCAGACCTCTCTAATAAAAAGGCTCAGAATACAGGAGAGGTCGAATAAATGACCGGTTGTGGAGTCAGGCTAGTTTTAGTTTTATGGTTAGAACAGGTAGAAAGTTTAGCAATCCGGTAGCCTTGAAGCGAATGTTTACTGTCCTGTGGGGTTTAAAGACGAAAGGCATGGTGAAAGGCGAGATGGGTTAAGGTTAAGGGTAGAAAGAAGAACTGCAGCCCATCTCTCCTGCCTTTTACAAGGGGCTATAAAAAAGGTTATGGACCAAGTCAGGGTGGGAAGGCTCTTTCACAAAGGCTGTTCTGTAAAAACATGGGTTTTACAGTTTCCTGCTGTTTATCCTCACACTTTATTATTCAGGTTAAAGCAAACAGTTCACAAAGACCCAGCTACCCTGCTACCTATATTTGTATAGGTCCTCCATTCCACACTACCAGTTAAGGGGGGGGGGGTATCACAGGTGGGTATATTTAAACTGTCATCTGTTTTAGTCATCGGAGTAAAAGCTCAGAGAATAGCTGTTTTTTGAGCTCTGCAAAAGGATTTATTGTTAGCATTGTGAGAATACAGTAACTCAGGATTTGGCATGCAAGATATTACATGGGTTTCTGGTTTTTATTCTGCCTGACTTTGCCGTTTCTCAATTGAGCTAATCATTGAAGCCACTTAATATTAATATTCTCCAAATTAATATTCTTTTCTCGAGTCTTTAGCTATTGATGACTTAAAGATACCAGTTAAATCATCATCCTTGTGGGCCATGAGCACTGGTACTGTTAACTGCTGCTGGAGCGTGTTGTCACTCCTTCTGCTTGAATCACTTACATTAGGTCTTGTTTTATTTCATCCAGTGGCCCAAGGAATTGTGACAAATTGTGTTCACACTTCTTTACTATTAATATACATCTCTTGTTATGTTGTATCTTGGTTCACACTTTGAGTTAATCAGAAGCTGCAACGTTACAGATATGTGTTAGATAAATAGTTAAATAGATATATGTGTGAGATACATAGTTAAAACTGTAGAATTTATTTCTATGTATATGTTAATGTTTAAAATGTACTAATAAGATCTAATTTAGAATATTGTGTACAATGTTGGTCACCCTGAATTGTTTTAGAACAAACATGTTGCTGCTCTGGAATCAGTGCAGAGAAGAGTAACAAAGTACAGTACTGTGCATTATTTGACTTCAGGGAGTGTCCCGTAGTGACAGGCTGAAGGAAGTGAACCACTGTAGTCTCAAATGGAGAAAGCTACAAGGGGACCTGATACACGTATTCAAAATCCTCAAAGACACTGACAAAGTCAACCCACTGGATTCCTTCAGGATAAACAGTGACAATGAACCAGAACACTGAAGTGGAAATGTACTGGAAGCTGAAAGAAAATGAAGAATGGGAGCCACTTGTTTACGTATGGGTTGTGGGAATATGGAACAATCTACGTACTGCACCTAGCCATATTGAAAACAGTACTTTGGCTTCCTCAAAAGACTTGGCTTAATGAGATCCTTGGATCATTTAGCTGCTTAATGAGATCCATGTATCAATAAGCTGCTAAATACCCCTCATCTGCAGGGGCTAAATGGCCTGAAATTCAAGCCTCTTTTATGTGTTCATATAAAAAACAAAAATCATAATTTTACACTAAATGTCAAAACTCAGCATTGTTATTGTTTTAAATGTACATTATATTCTTTTGTCCCCAAGTTGGAAACGTCTGTGTTTTCTTCTTTTTTCGTGCCCTTCACTGTATGAGTAGCACTTTAACATTTAAAACTATTTCAACCACCAGCCCTGAGACACATGCATACATCAATGTTCTCAGACAAAAGTACGTCTTTATCAACTGTTCACTATTCCTGCCAGCTATTGGACCATAGGAACACCATTATTCACATGACAAAGGTGATCATGCAAATTAAGGAAATGAATAACGTATTAACTGTATAATTAACTGTATTGTTATGACAAAGTGAATAGACGATTTAAATATAGGTAACTGTTGAGGAAAACTACTTGGGAAAATAAAAAATATGCCTCAGAAGCATTTTATTTTTGAATTTTTTAAAAAGCTGTCCCATTGTCCTCCTGCCTTGGTATAATTAAGTAATAATCTGAGTTTTGGAAGGTTTAATATTCATTGCCTTGCACAAGTACATACTGTACCAGCTTCATAGGATGCCCCATTTTGTTGTATTATTTAAAGCTGTATTTTTACAGACACCTTACAGAGACAGGTGTATTTAGTCTGAAATCATATGAAGGACTGTTATTCCTTACAGACAGAGGCCATTCAACTATAGTGTGATTTGTCAAAGTAATTTTGTGTACCTGAACTTATTTATTTTTACAGTGGCAAAGGAAGTAAATACTTAAGCAGTCAACATATTTTTGTTTTCATTTTTCTTTAAGCGTTCACATTTTGATTAAAAATACACGCTTTAAAAATGTGTGGACAATATACTGTAAGGCGACATCATTGGAAGGGATTGAAAGGTTTTGCAAGATAGAAAATACTGTACAGCATGTGTTAATGTCTCTCATAGCCCTGAATTTTGGATACTGGGTTGTGTATCACACTGCACACTGCACACTGCACACTGCACACTTCTGTTTTACACTTGACCCTAAACACAGAGAAGCAAAGCTCATTGTGGTCCAAAGGCAAAGTACATTACAGTATGTGCTCTACGTTTTTTTTTACAAAGAAAGCACAATTAATTAAAAATGTGCTTTAAAAAATACAGACATTGTGAAACCAGTATCAGGCAGAACAGGATTTTGCCTCAGCCTCAATCTAATTTTAATTTTCTTCTGGAAGGCCTGTCTTTTTCTCATTCCTACAGCAACTTATTCTTGAAAAGGGAACCAATTTTTGAATTTGCTTTTCCTTTAATTTTGGAGGCATGAGATGGATGCCCTGCTCTTTCAGTTATTTTTCTGAATTCTAACTCAGACATATTTGAATCAACTGTATAACCCCCCCTACATTGAATAATGAAGAGAATGTAAAATCCACTATCAATACTGCAACAGGCTAAAGATAAGATTCACAAGTTTTTGTTTCTTTGCAGTTAGCAGCACATTTTTTGCATATCATCCACCCTATTTTCCGAAACCGCTTTATCCTTAGAGGGTTGTGGTTATTGCAGACCTGTTTTCTTTAATACGGAGCATATCTAACACATAAAGGAAGCTCTGCCTTTGATATATAGTACTGAGCTGTTAATAAATGATAAGATGAGACTGTGTAACTTCATCAAATTTCTGCACTATGTTAAATATTTGCTCAAAAGATCCCAAAAGAAGAGTCTTCTGAAAGTTTCCCGAAAATGCCAACCATTGATCTAACCCACTTAGCCTATGGGCACTCTCAAAAACCATCACTGTGTTCTGTTGTAGCAAAGGACTTTTATTTGCTGAAGGTTCAGGACATTGTTAATGCCAAAAGCAACAGCACAGATATTCTTGATTCACTGTATCACTGTGGGGGATTAAATGACTCCTACATTTTTTCAGTCTGCTGTAGTTAGAAGATTTGAATGTGATTTGCTGTAGGTTGTTGCTGTGGGTTATTTTTCAGCTACCGAATAGAACAGGGATGAATTAAAAAAAAAAGAATCACCTTTTCTTCCCAAGGTCAATCAGAATGCCTCAAGTATTTGCTATTTCAGAGCGTCCGTCTAAAAATTGTACTTTCTCTGCACCTATAGGTATATTCTTCAGATTACATTGGAATTTCCTGCAATAAATGCGTAGCACCTTCTGTCAAATTGTTTGGTAAAGTTTTATGCAATCATAGTCTGCACAATAACAACATATTGCCATACAGGTACAGACTATTATACTTCATGGGTGCATCCATTTTTTTTATTTATCCTAAACTGATGTAACTATATAAAGAATAATAGTATCTACCATTTCTGTAAATCTTTAGCAGTTAAAAGCTAATTATATATCCCAATTAATTTTAGACCAATGTAGTGTTACTTAATCTGAATGAATTCAAAAAGCTGAATCACTTTTATCAGAAACCGGGTAACAGTAAGCTAAGCTTCTACAGGATGACTGTAGCGTTAGTAGTTAAGGGATATTATTTCATCATGGCTAGGTGTGTGAGTCAAAGTACATTGTTATAGCTTCTTTGTTCAAATTGAAGTTTGGAGGCAGCTGCCATCTGCACAGAAAACCTTGAGAAACAGACATAAAAAGCCCTACAGTGTGAGTTAACTGGTACATGGATACTTTATATATGTTGTGGTTGGTTTCAAGGTCGACAGAAGAGTTCCTGCTAACAAACATCCTATGATACAGTATCCCTGAAGGTGATCAATAAGAAGTGGACCCAAGTGGACCCAGAAAGTGTTCAGATCCGACAGTCCTTTTAATGTGAGCAGCCAGACAAGAAGGAAACTCATAAGGGATGCAACCATGAAGCCGAAAGTGACTCTGAAAAAGCTATGGAGTTCAATGACTGAAATGGGTGAAAATATCCATCAGTCAACAATATCCTGGTCACTTTACAAAGCTGGCCTATATGGCAAAGTGGAAACGCCATCTCAAATCTCATATGCAGATTGCGACAAAACATTTAACTGATGCTGCAAACACATGGCAAAAGGTTTTGTGGACACAGAAGACAAAAGTGGAACTGTGTGGTATAAAGGCAAAGAGTTACTGTATGTGCAATCCCACCTTTGTTCTTCACTCAGTCAAGACAGTCCCTACAGTCTAGCATTTATTAAAGTTCTGCTTCTCATTAGCAGGGGCTGGGAAAGTTGTCAAGACCGATGGGAACATAGAACAAAGTACTGGCACGCTCAAGAAGAAAAACTTGCTTCAGACCCGAAACCGGGACACAAATTCACCTTTCAGCAGGACAATGACCCAAAGCACGAGACCAGAGCTACACTGGAGTGGCTTAAGAATAAGAAAGGGAATGTCCTTGAGTGGCCAGTTACAGTCCTAACTTGAACTCAATTGAGAATCTGTGGAAAGCCTTGAAAATTGCTTAAGCAACTTGAGTGAGCTTAAGCAAATCTGCCAAGAAGACTGGGCAAAACTTGTACCAAAAATTACACAAAGACTTGCAGCTGTAATTGCTGTTAAAGGTGCTTCTACCACTTATTGAGTTCAGGGGTGTGAATATTAATGCAATTAACATATTTCATTTTTTTTGTCTTTACTGTTTGTTGGCAATTATTGTAACTTGTGTTTTGCTAGCCTTAAATATGTGTCAACCCCATGGAAAAGGTATTTTGCAAGGCACTATATTAAGATCATAACTCACTGCAACTATATTACATGCTGTCTGAAACACTGGATACTACTACATGTACTGTATGCTGCCCATTAGTAGTGAAAAATGGTTTCAACACTGGCAGCATAATGAGTCAGTTTTGAAACTTTATATATGTTCACTTTAAAATCATAACATGAAAGAATTAAATAACACAGATTCCTTTAATTTACCAGGAGGTCAACATTGACGTGACCCACGAGAAATTAGTTTAAGGAATTTTCTTACTTGCTCATCATGTTAGTAAGTTTTTGTTTTCACTCCAATAAAGTCTAAACATCAAAGATGTAGCGTGATTTCCCAAGAGTACTAAAGAGATACTGTAACAATAATTGTTGTTTACGGTTGAGAGAGAAGAATAAAGTACCCAATTCTAGGAAAATATTAATTTTCATTGGTATACAAAATGTTGTAATGAAATGGGACTAAAAAGAAAAAGTGTGTCCAAACAAGACATCTTCGAAATGCTCGGCACATATCAACAATGAACTAATGTCTTACAGACACAATAAAAAGGTTCTTTGTCACATTGAATTCACCTAATCAAAATATCTAATGTGTGTTTATGATCACTGACTGTCAGAAGGAAAGATATTCAATTTTTTTGAACTGATAAAAAACTTAAAACCCTAAATGTGATTATCACGTCCATGTCAGCATTCAAAAGGAGGATAAAAACAGTTTATAAACTGTTTATATTTCAGAATATTGGTTTTCTACCAACTGACCTGAAATGTAATTTCACTTTCAGTGAAAAAAATATTTTATATTGTATTCAAAATTGAAATTGAAGTACTATGCTTTACCTATTTTTCTGTTCTGATTTTTCATGCTGAAGTCATTTGGTAGAAGGACCAAGCAAAAACCTAAATCGCTCAGATTGGAACAAAATTCTTGGCCAGGTTTTAGTACCTAATTATAGTAAGCTGTATAAGGATGTAGTTACATAAGAAAATATATGTCTCACATTATTGGGTTTTCAAAATATCTCTTTGGATTATATTTGTGATATTCGGTGCCTGTGAATAATGTTTCTGGACATAAGCCTAACAAATGTGAAATTGTTTGGTTGGTTCAATAATACAGCCAGAAACCATATCACCCTGCAACTCACAACTGGCAACCAACTAGAGCTCAGCATGTGTGAGCCTGGTCAGTACCTGGATGGGAGACCTCCTGGGAAAAACTAAGGTTGCTGCTGGAAGAGGTGTTAGTGGGGCCAGCAGGGGGTCCGAATCCTGTGATCTGTGTGGGTCCTAAAGCCCCAGTATAGTGACGGGGACACTACACTATAAAAGGTGCCGTCCCTAGGATGAGATGTAAAACTGAGGTCCTGATTCATTGTGGTTATTTAAAATCCCAGGGTGCTTCTAGAAAAGAGTAGGGGTGTTACCCAGGTGTCCTGGTGAAATTTCCCATTGGCCTTTACCAATCATGGTCCCCTAATAATCCCCATGAATTGGCTAATTACTCTGCTCTCCTCCCCACTGATAGCTGATGTGTGGTGAGTGTTCTGGCGCACTGTGGCTGCCGTCTCATCATCCAGGTGGGGCTGCACATTGGTGGTGGGGGAGGGGAGTCCCCATTACCTGTAAAGCGCTTTGAGTGGAGTGTCCAGAGAAGTGTATATAGGTGTAAGGAATTATTATTATTATTAAAAGGTTAATTTGATCATATAGTGAGGGAGGCCACCTAGCCTCTCTAGCTTATTTGGTTTGCTTGTAGCTAACTGATCAGAGGATCACATCCCAAGGTTTACAAATTAAGAACATACAGTAAGTCAGGCCATTGACCTTGTTGATGAGTTGATGGATATCTCCATTATGGTGTAAACACAGTAGTTTGATGTTTAACCACTTTGAAAATAGCTTATGTTGTTGTAACAACCGAATTAAAAAAATGTTTTATGTAGATGTAATATATTTGTTTTTTTATTTTGGTTTAATCATGATTACTTATTATGTTAATTGGACAAACCAGTGTTGCTCTCCTTAAAATGGCAGATTATGGTTGCGTCCTCCCTTTTCAAAATTCTTAGGCCATACAATTTAACATATTTGAGTTCCTTACAAGTTCTACCACCTG